CCCCGTTCCTCTTCGATTTTGCGATTGAAGATATCCTGTCGAGAGCTCAGGACGGTTGCGAAAATTTTCGTATACAGCTACTTCCAAGCAAGCGAGCAACCGACTTAGAGTATGCCGATGATATCGCCTTTCTTGGTGAGGACTCACAGAGCATACAAACCATTCTACACCGCTTGGCGATTGAGTCATCTAGGTAAGGAATGTACTTTTCCACGTCAGATTGTAAAGTCATCTTCATCAATCATCAACAACAGCAGTACATCAGCCATTTGAACTGATGCTTCGCTGCCATACCACCATAAAGAATAATAGAAAACATAGAAAGGGGGACTTACCTGAAAACCTTAATGCCCTAAGCAAACATTCAGAGTCAAGGCGTTCCCACATTGTGTTAACAACACAATCTCACAAACAACTGGCTGTCGTGCACAGATAAGGCGACATCAGCGAGGCAGCTTCTTGTCGCTTTCTCTGCCCCGCGTCATAATCAGCCATTACCCCGAAGATAACTCAGCGCCAAACACACTTTAAACAGGCAATCCGATTAGGAGACGGCATTAGACGCGCCACTGGTGTCGATTGCGAGCCATGTCCTGTAAAGTGTCGAGCCAAGCACAAGGCGAGTCACGTGGACTCCAGCCCGAATGGCCTGACAGACCAACGGCACCCAGTTTGGTCATCGGTGACCTTATTTCCCGCTGCCAAGTCAACTTCTGTCCACCTCGAGCTTTGCACTACCTTACACCTGGCCCTACTCGGTAAGCGGTGACCAGGCATACGTAGCACGTGCCCGAGCCAACGCAACTTATTCTGTGCTATCTGTTGTTCTAAGGGCCTAGCTTTAGTATCACTACCCCGCACTCACCTGCGTACATCATCCTTGCTTATACGCTGGTGCCATCCGACACCAGCAATGCTTCGCTGACAACGATGATCAAAGACATTAAGGCACCTCAGATCTTCAAACCGACGGGGCCAAGTTTCACTTCCCTAGAGCAGCACGGCTCTCACTGTGGCATTGTATACACAGCCTTCCAGATTGAGGGAAACCCTTCCGGGAGCAGAGGGCCAACTAAACCCATCTTGAAGGTGTTCCGCCCAACAAGCCTTACGGCGATCCTTATTGTATATCAGTGCACCTGCGCTGTCTCTGATGGTCTCACTGACGCCTGGTTTCCTGGGACCAGTGGTGCGCATCAGCTGGAAGAGCTTGCGGTAATTGCCTACTGCTCTTACCTTCTCCATTCCTTGAGCCCGAGTGGTCCACCAGACTTCCTTGTCAGCACGTAGGCTCCGCTTTCGTTCGCGCCCAATAGCCCGTCTGGTCACATTGTGCTCAGAGCCAGCCGGAAGGTTTCTTCTAGATTCCAACAGATTCACCGACCTCTCGGATATCCATTGACTGGTGCGGTGACGATGGATAGTGCCACAAGCAGATGCTCCTGCGTCGTGCATAGCGCCCGAGATCTTATTCCGCTGAAGCTCACTGTCATTAGGACAAGACAGCGAAAGTTCGGTACGTAATGCGTCTTGATAAGCTTGCTTGACGGAGGGCTGAGACAATTTCTGAGTTGCCAATCGGAGGAAACGTTTGGTGCGTCTCCAGGTGAAGCTCATGGAGAAACGACAGCGTACTAAGACATGATCATAGTCGACGCAGGTATCCCAGTACGAGCGGCAATCCAGGATGGAGTCACGCCACCTGTAACTTATGACAATGTGGTCAATTTGGGTCCATCGCTAGCCAGCCACAGGGAAACGCCAAGTGGCATTTCGGCGCTCACTGTGTCTAAAAGCAGTGTTACTAAGAAACAACTGGAGATGCGCACATCGTTGCAGCAGACGCTCGCCGTTGTCAGTCCGTTCGGATTTAAGTCCATAATTACCACCCAGCTGAGCTTCCGAAGAGCTCATACACCCTACTCGTACTTTCATATCACCTGCAAGTACTATAATATCTGAACTAGTAGCACTGCGTAGTAGCGCGTTCAGTTCGTGAAAGCGAGTGTTCTTGACAGCATTCGAACTGCAGTCGGTGGGAGCATAAGCGGAAATCACAAACAAACAGCGTTTTGAACTACTTCGTGAATCAGTCTTAGCTGATGTTGTCAAACGGGCTGCACATAAACCGTTGTTCACCGGAATCCAATCAATCAATGATGGCTCAGCCTTGGATCTTAGAATGATGCCAACATCAGCTTAACGCGTGAGTGCTGCTTCGGTGTCTTTGAATGCGTGCAACTGATAACGAGAGGGGAAGTCGGGTGCAGTTCATTCAACAACCCCATTAGGGTCATTGATCCTAGTTTCGGCCACACAACACACATCAATACCCAGTGTGTCCAAGGTGAATGCGAGCGCAGCCTGTTGACCTAGTTGTCTTAGAGTGCGAACGGTGAACGTCACCATGGTAACGGGACAGCGTGGTCTTATAAGGGACTGTGACCGATAGGCCTCTGATGGGTGTTGTGGGATGGTGGCTGCAGATAGTTCTACTTCAGTGGCACTTCGGTCGCTGTCAATTAAGCTGGCAATTACAGCTTACAATAAAATGGCATAAAGTGGTTCCATTTTATGAAGACATTCCGATCACTAAGACCGTATTCGAAATGAAGGTGTTTCGGTGTTGCTCCTCTTTGCTCCTCTCCTCGGTGTTGCTTCTTTACAGTACGCCAACCCTATTCTGGTTTGTTTCGAATAGGATTTACTTTCACTGGAGCGCTGATTGGCTTACCACCTGACGATTTCCTTTGTTCAGCTTGTTCGGTGGACTAGTTACCCTCACGTTTATGCGCTATCCGCTACTGGTCAGTGTCTTGTGCCTCTCAAACTCGCTTGCCTTTGTTCGGGACTAAAAGCGTGCCTAACTCCCAATACTGTAACCCAATTCCTCATTGTTCACTCGACCCGTGCAAACGTGGGCAACTTGCACTCTTGGTGCTGATTGCTTTTCCAGTCCACTTTCTGTACGTCCGTTTTGCTAGCGTAACCCGCCAACTACCATAACGTCCGTCCTTTTTTGGTTTTTTGTGTGCTTTAGTTTCGTATGTTTCATACTGCTTTCCACTGCGAGTGATGTTGCGGTCTTGGGCTGCGATGTCAGTCGGCTGGTGCGGCTGCTCTTCATGATGTCGAGTATGTTCACCCCATGGCCTCAGCTGTACCCGATTCTGCCGAATGACAATATTCCCGATCTATAATTCATTGCTTCTCTCTTCCTTGCGACATTTAACTAATCCCTTGTCCAACTCCCGTCCGTTCCATAAATCGGTTTAATTCATACTTCCTCCTTAGACGCTAGAGTGGAAGTGCTCTTGATCCACGATCAAAATGCCATTTTTGTTTCAGTGTTCTTTTACCTAGACGGTCTTGCAGAAGTACATTCAAAGTTATTTCTGGATTTAGTATGGCCTTAGCTGCCTGTAGCATCGCGCCTTTTCTACCACTGAACAAACCTTTAGCTGGACTTATCCCGATTTCAACCGATGGCGTATTTCGACTTTCAAGCAACGTAATGAGGAAATGTTCGTAGGTCTCCTTGGACTCAGTACACACTTTCTTTGCTTCCTTAGCCGCTGACTCATCCTTTCCGTTTAATTGCATATTATGTGCGCTATTGTGCTCAGGCAGAAAATCCTACTTCTTTCTGAAATCGCAAAATTCTGCACTATTAAATTGGGCTGTTGTCTGAAATCATCTCCTCCGACATACCATGTCGGGTGAACTACCGTCATAGCTTATTCACGACGGTTTGCTTCCTGGTCGTAGTGGGAATATCAATTTATAAATGGTCGCTGAACTCATTGACCACAATCAAGTACTTTCCCCCCTAATGACTGAAAATGTTCAAAGCGATTCTCTGCCAAGGCCTCTCCGGTACGGAACCGTACATCATGGGCTCTTTCTGTTGGAGCACTTTGGAGCATTTTGATATGTAATCTCATGTTTGGCTAGTCATTCCGGGCCAGCATTAGCTCTCGAGCTCTCACTATACTGTCGTTGACTCCTAAGTAAACGCATTTCGTAAGGTCCAACATGGAGCGCTGTATTGCCTTCAGAACGTCTGAATGGTTACCTTTGGCTCTTAGTCCGTCTTGAGTGACGAGTTTGTTTCGAAAATGGGCGGACGGAGTCAACTCTTTAGGCAGCCTTTTAGCTTCCGTACAGCTGTCCAGTGTCGTTTCCTTGAGTAATTTGCGCAGCTAGTTTTCTTTCGTGCAACGTAGTAGTGACTTGTAATGCTCCTCTTGGCCAGCAACCAGCTGTGTAGCATGGACCAAGTCAGGGTCTTCCTGCGTTCCTATCACGTTCAGGAGATACGCCCTCAATAACGGATCAGCAATGTGCATCTTTGATCCTGGTTGCGAATTCGCATCCGCTGCAGGACACGTGGATCAATGTGGTGGTACTGGTGTATTTTGCCGGCACATGGACTAATGAATCACACGCCTGCCTTGTACTCCGGTGGCGCGTGTTCTAGCCTGCGTAGTGGACCGGGCGACGCTCGCACTATACTTATCCCACGCGCGACTGTTTCTGGTTGCGCGGCAGCGAAGCGTCTGTACCACGGTACTGGCATACTGCTGATACCTTAACGATATGTGATGATGGTAGCGACCTTACTATTTCCTTGTACAATTAGAAATTTCGCGTCCCAGCAAATGCAATCATTGTGTACCGATATGTCCTATCTGGGGTCGATTGTACGGCGGGATAGTTTGCCATGGATAAACATCCGTTACATTTTGATGCCCTACCCTTCTATGCATCGTTTACAGTTTAATCAAACCGCACAGTACCCATTTTTGTTTACATGTAATCCGAGTGCAGCCCGAACTCATGGTTGCGTATCTTTACCCCGTGGTTCATCAGTACTCGCTGTTTACCACTCCACAGGAGCTGCTTTATGTTGTCTGTGACACTGGTTTCGCCGAAAGTACTGCCTAACGCATTTTTTCGCTAGTAATACACTGATCTGTGTTTTTTTTCACTTCATTCAGAGACAGTGCACCGGTAGCAGCAGTGCTGGAGGCATTGCGGAAGCCTACGGATTGGACGAGAAAAATGGCCCTGCTTTTGCTGCATTAAATCTTCTCAACAATCCAAATGTGGTAGCTGCTATCGTGAGTGCTGCAGCTGGTGCCCTTGCTGGGTCACCATCTCGTTAATGCGCAGTAAGTGCAGACCGCGAGTTTCGAATTATTCTTCCTTATCTCACGATATGTATTTATCAGTTCTCTTTATTCTCCATTTCAGTTTGGATGATCAACCGAATACGAAGAATTTGCACTGAGCTCTTACCCTGCAATATTTTCCCTGTTGTACTTTTAGTCTGTCTGCTGTTTGCGCTGGCCGTTTTTTATATCATGCTGGTTCCTGTCCGATCGGTCGCCTGATGTGAACATTGTGAACCCGTTTGTCCGCTTGGCTCGCTGTTCTCACTAGTTTTCTCTGTGCTGTTATCACGAAGATGATCGTTTGCAGCATCGGTCGTTTGTTGGTGCTTTCCGCTTGCAATGGTGGGCGTTATGGTTGTATTTGATGACACGTTGTGGAATGGTGTCCGATGGTTTTAAATCTACGGGGCTCTGCTTCTTTCGATTGTGGTTGTCTTTAAGTTCACTGCTTGTGGTGTCCGTATGTTGACGGCTTCCCAATCGCTTAGCCACCATCGCGAATGCACGCGTATGATGCGGCGTTGTGAATGCTGGGGTTTTGGTGCTGTTGCATCGTTTATTTGGCACGCTACGTCCAGTTTCTGCGGGTGCTGAGCGATGATAACTAAAATAACCTGCGTGCGTCAGTCGCTTCCCAGCGACCGATGACTTTTATTAAACATTTTGCGATATCAACATCACTTAAATAGGTGGAAAATGTTTATTAGCTTCCGTTTCTCTCAAAGTGTTCCTAGGTAACTTAGTTGTGTCTTTCAAGTTTCCAAGGTGGATTATCGGTTACCATTCCATGTAATGAAGAATAACTGCATTGGATGTATATCTTAATAAGATGATAACTTCTTGCTGCTCAAATAGTGTTGTTTTCTGAGGCAAGGATGCAAACAACCCACCATTTCGGTAACCAACCATCATCCAAACCGCCGGTCATTTGGAACAATGGATTTATCACGGATATAAAAGCAAGCGCTTAACAGTTTTCCTTAGGTAAAGATGAGATCAAAAATAACATGTATCAAACCAAACAAAAAAGCGCGTGGCGGGGGATTTAACGCAAATTTCGTGTGTGCACATTGTTTGATTGCGTTGTCGTGTGACCCAGTAACTTGGGTTACATCATGAGTAATGAACAGCAAACGCTTGACAAGTCCCGTAAGATGGTTGGATTGAAAACCAAAACGATGCAAGGGATAAGTGAATCGTCAGTTTAAGCGTCTACTGACTTGACTGCACTGCTTCAAAGCGATAGTTTGCAATGATAATTGAATGTGCGCACACAAAGCAATATGGGGAGTGGTTATATTTCACATAATCCGTGGGAAAAATTGGAAATGACAACCCTCACTCTTGTGTAGCTTCCTTTGGCCGACGGGATAGGTAAATCCAGTTTTCACAGTTGCAGCGTTTATTAAATGATGTGCAGCAGGTGAAAATGCACACGTTGCTTTGTAATGCTAGGTTTACCTCCCGATATAGAGGGTATTATGGCGTAATGTAAATGTATGAGTGCATTGTGTAGGCCTTTTTTGAACACTGTTAGTGTGGGGGAAGACACACGTAAGTGGGAAGGGCGTTCTATGGTTGGCTGGCGATCATCTAACCGGCTATGCTGTGTGGTCAGCTTTAGCTGGTGACCTCTCAGGGTGGTATGCTGCTTCAACCTCAGAAGGGGACTACAAGCATGGTTTGGATTCCTTAAGATCGAATATGTCATTATCAAATCGCCACGCAGGCGTCGATACTATCCACTGTAGACCCCATAGGTTTTCGATTTCAGTTGCTAAGGAAGATGAGACAGACCTTTTACGTTCTGGGTCGCCCTTCGTTGTTCCAATTCAAGTGCGGTGAGGTCGTGCTTGTGCTAGGACTGCCAGGCGTGGATGGCGTATTCCGAATGAGGCCTAATCTAAGCATTGAGCATCTGAGAGAAAATTGAAGGGTCAATGCGCTTGGACGCTTTCTCGGCTGACGTGAACAGCCAAGATCCCCTTGTACTATCACATCTAGATCGCATTCAGTAGTAGCAACCTGAAAAGCTTGATCCCTCCAGCCTTTACTCGTAAGTTTATTGTTGGCGTATACTCAATGTTGTTGTGTAGATTCGTCGCAGTTAGACACAGGCAGACAGCCACCGCACATCCAAAAAAAGCGCTAGACTGCCGTTTCGTCCTATCGTGACTCGTCAGTAGCGCGCTCTGGAGACCAGCCCTGTCCTCTGCACATTCATAACATGCAAGACAGTGGAGAATGAGCCATGCTATATCACAGTTAGATATTAGTCATGACGCTCTGCTGCCGTCGTCCATGGCTTAGTGACATAAGTTGCCGACTCGCAAGAGTAAGGTCGTGGGTTCGGATCCGGCAGAATTCAGCGGACGTGCGCTACTGACCAATAGAGCGAAACGGCCATTTAGTGCTTTTCTGGATGTGTGGTGGCTGTCTGCCTGTGTCCAACTGCGACGAATCTACACAATAACTTAATAAATCCCCTACTATTTTCAAATATACTCAATGTCTTACCTTTGGTGGCGTGGAAATGAAGCGGGTTTTGAGTCGCCCATTCACGAACCTTCTAGCAAAAGCTCGAGGCGCTTTTCCTAACCTTGGCCACTTACAGTGTTGCTGCAACCTCACTCTTGCCCTGTAGGGTAGAATGTACTATGCAGCGGTACGTTCGACTCTACTGTACGGTTGTGAAACTTGGCCCCTTAAATCAGCGGACATAAAGTGGCTAGTTATGTTCGACCACCGGTGCCTTCGTAATTTAGCTCACATCTGGTGCGAACACGCGCATGAGTAACGAGCGTGTTCGACGCCTTGTTTACGGCACGGGAAAAGAAAATGAACTGCTCAGCATCGTTATATCACGCACAAGGCTCCGATGGTTCGGCCACGTGTTACGCATGCCAGCCCACCACCTCGCGCCACGTACGTTTGCTCGTCAGAAGTGTTGTTGGAAGAAGGGGAAAGGTGGACAAGGGATGACTTGGTCGAGAGGAATGAAGACCCTCACTTCGAGGCTGGCCTCGGTTGGATCGTCTCGGCTCCCTGGTTGGGGTCCGAAAGATGATGATCACGTTTGGTTGGACACACTTGCTGATATAGCTAGGAGCCGACCTCAGTATCGTTCGTCCTGTGATTTTGTTTGTGCCACCCCACCCTCTTAACCTCCTCTTCCAACCACGATCTCACTTAGCGTAATATAATTTTGCATATTTTTGCTGCATAGTAGCCGGCTGGTAACTTACCGGAACGATGCCTATCCGTTTCCAGTAGGTCAGCTGGTTTGCATCTGTTGCTATTTTTCTTTTATGTATTACGACACAGTAGCTGAGGTGTTTCCCACCTCTACCTAATGTGTACGATGATGATGCGTCAAATCCCACCGCTTTCGACGAGTTCAGTCCAGCTGGAATGATCAAGTGGCAGATTTGTGTTGCAAGACCGGTTTTCGCGGTATCCTTCCAAGTAATTCTTGAGCACTTCCGCAATAATTGACTCCATAACTTTGGATAGCACTGGAAGGAGTATTATCCGGCGATGCTTGGTCGGATCTGCGCAATTCCCCCCCCCCATGTGAATGAAAGTGATGGTTCCGTGCCTTTACATTGTCGCAACCCATATCTCATATAGACATCTTTGGAAGAACTTAGATAGTGGATCCGCTAAATTCATTGCAGCTAACTTCGGCGTCTTTGCTTGAATATTATTAGCACCGGATGTGGTATGCTCTCGTAGGGAATTTAGCCTTTTCTTATCTTTACCCGTAAACGAGATATGACTGAGTCCTAATATTGATATAACTTGCGTGCACAGCATAGGCGAAGAAGTCGTGTTCTGGGAGTTTGGCTGGAATTACTGATATAAGGCGTTGGCCGCTTCTGTTGTACTTTGTGCTGGTCCACTTCGCTTGTGGAGGGCAGGAATCACGCGCTGCACTTTACGGACTTTGTTAACATCTTTGTAAAGAAGCTTGGTGGTTAAGGGGAATTTCTCAGCTAGATCCTGTTGATGCTTTAGCTTTTCCTCGTGTACTAGCTTCAATCAATGATTTCGCTGGATAGTGTAGACTTCCCATGTTTCGGTATTCGGTGACTGTATTTTCGTCAGAGTGAATCTCTTCTGATCATGCACTTCCGCGTCCTGCTGCGTCTGGCTGACTTTACTCTCGTGGCGCGCAGTGGTCTGTTCCTCTAAGCACTGTCTACTAACTTGTTAAATTAATGAACAAAATCCCACCAGGCGACATCGGGGATACTTCAGCTAGAAGCGATCAGTTGTTTGGATAAGTGAGTGAGGTCAGAGCGCCGTACTTGGTAATGAGCTGAGAATCGTCGGCGTTTTGTACGGAATGTTCTGCATAACAGATCTACTTGAATTAGAGTGTTGCATGATTACTGCGGCCCGAAGGACTAGCTGTGGATTCCGTCTCGATCATAAGATCCTCGTTGGTGAACACGAGATCCAGGATACTTGGTTTGTTCCTCATCCTGAATCTTGTGGGGGAGGAAACCTTGTTGTATAGTGGCAATCCAGTGATTAGCTCCTGCAATTCCATTTTGAAGTTCTTATCGAGACGGGCTGGGGTTTCTATGGCATACAGATTGAATTCATCAACCAGCATAATGTAACTGTGCCTTTGCGAGGATGGATTTCATAGTGCACGTTAGGCGACTGTTCATTTCTGAAGTGGACGATGGAGGGTGATACACGATGCCCACTAAACATGTGTCACCACGTCTTAGGTGAAGATGACACCAAAGCGCGTCGACACTCTGAACATCCAGGTCGTCGATGAGATCAAAATGTATCTCACTGCGGTAATAGAGTAGTACACCACCTCCTCTATTCGGCTGATCGTTGCGCAGAACGGACATTCTGGGTAGTACGATTTCATCGTCCGCGATCACTTCAATCAATCATGTCTCGGTTACCATTATGAGGTCCCACAGCATCGAAGCATGACAGCCGAAGCTTTATCAGTTTGCTGAAAACGCCTTGTGCGTTGGTATAAACACAAGGGTGTCTTATATGTCGAAAGATTGGTGTAAGGTGTACACAGCATGTTCGAAATTTGGCCAACCCTCGTGAGGTCGGCCGCTTCTCGTTTTTTGTGGAGTCGCTGGCTCTCGAGATGGAGTTGCGATACATTGCTGCACAAACCACTCCAGGTCGAGATGACCCTGATCGTCAGTCACACCCTGCCATGTCCCTCCCGAAGTTATGATGGTTGATAGATCAGTCACTGCGCTGAACTGCGCAACAGTCGTTTTCGTTGAGTTCACCACTCCCAATGAGTAATCAGTATCCTGGGGTCGTGTTCCTGATGCCTTCACTCAAATTTCTCTTAGCAGCATGTTACGGAACTTAGCCCAGTTCTCTGGGAGGGTCTGTACCGTTAGCTCAGATGGTAAAACGTACTTCAGCTATATAGGACCACCTACTTTGTAATTAGGAGACACGGGAATCCTTGTCAACGAAGTGGCAACGACATCAAGAGAGCATGCCTTACGAATGTGTCTCCATTGCTACCAGTAATGTTCCTGAGATTCGTCTGAAGCTTGGGACTCGGGTACATTGTGGACAATGACGTTTTTTGCCGTATTTTTGGCCTATATCTTGGTCGTTCATAACTTTTGAACACTCTTCCTCGGGCTGTCTGGTAGTATGCGCACTCCTGTTTGATACACTGTAGAGTCCATTCACAGACAGCAAAATGGCTTCCGTCTCATCTGCGGAATTTAGTGTTACTCGAAGTAGTCGAGGCCTACCGTAGTGCAGTGAGTTTGGGTGACACGCGATGCGTTTCAGTGTAGTGGGGTTATAAAGGACACCGATGGCCTTACAGATGGAGTCTCATTGACTACTATCGTCTATCAATTTGCCCCTTGTTGTATTGGATCTAGATTCAGCAACCTTGGTGCACACAATGTTTAAGGCACTATGGTTGCGCCTGACTTTTGCGGGCTTAAGAACACTAGATCCTGTTGCTTTCTGTGGA